CAATTTTCTGGTGTATGAATGCATCATAATTTATTTAAGCAGACCCCTACTGCTGGGCAGTAGTGCTACTTATAACTTTATCATTTCAAATAACACTGATATATTTCTTTATCATGGGTCCTTTTACTTAAAGCGTATCTCCATTTAAAACTTGGACAGGTATTACTCAGTTTCCCTTGTAGAGATTATTTCCCAGCATTGTCCTCTACTAGGGCTGATAGATAGATATATCACATCAGTAGGGCTGTACTGGTTGTTTAAAGTATCAGCATATTTTATGCTATACCCACTGGGAACTAGCTGCTGCCCTAAGCCCCCTAAGTGCCATTCTCTAGTGTCTCAGAGCCCCTAGTTACCCCACAATTCAGCAACTAAAGGATTAACACTAGGCAGAACAGGGAGCCTGGAGTCTGTTCTGACTGGTCAGTGCCTGGGTGTTAAATATTTTAAACTTCGCTTCTTTATCTTTACTAATATGAGATAAAAAATGGTTTTACATTAGTTTGCATTTCTCTTCTTTAAATGCCGTTTTTATTTCCCTTTCTGTATATTGTTCATTGGGTTGCTTGTGTTTCACATCTGATTTTGAAGAGCTTTTTATATGTTAAGAAAATGGTCCTTGGATGAACAGATATTCTTAAACCTAACACAGTCAAATTTATCAATCTTATCTTTTATGGTCAGTGTTCTTTGAAGTTCAGTCAAAAAGTTCTTTCTTCTCCTAGTCAGAAAGTTTCCTATATTTTCTTCTAAACATTTTTTATATATGTACTATATAAAATACATCTGGAATTTATTGTGTATACAATCAGATCTATTTTTCTCATATAGATTCCATAACGACTTATTAAATAGTTCCTCCTTTCCACATGATCTGTAACGCTACCTCTGGTATATATGAAAAAGCCCATGTGTACTCTGTTCAGTTGGTTAAATGACTATCCCAGCATCAATACCACAGTTGCTACAGCATTAATGCTATTCTTGATCTCTGGCCCTCTTGCCTTATTTTTCTTCTTCAGGAGAGTCTACGCTATTCTTAGCCCTTTAGAGATCTCCTATTCACTCCAGAGTCTTTCATACCTTTTGAGAAAAAGACTGCATGAGTCACCTGTTATTCCCATTTCTATTGGAGTGTTTATTTTTATTACCTTTTACCCATTTTGAGTTATTTCTACTCTTTTAGTGATTATCTTTGAAAATTTAATATACATACTTGACTTAAAGTGTACAGTTCATTAATATCTTAAAGCTTCTATTTTTCCATCATTGTCAATTAGTACTTTACATCCACCTTGTTTTAAAAATCTCGAAATCTATTTATTACTTCCAACAATGCTTATTTTAATTATAGAACTTCATTAAAATAGATAAAATAGTCCTGTTAAAAAATTCAAAAAGACTAAAAGGATATACAGTGAAAAGTCTTTTATATCTCTGTCTCTGGCACTCAGGTTTCCTCCCAATATTTTGTGTGTATCCTGGAAATGTTTTCTACATAAACAAATGCATATTGTACTTTTTCCTACTGTATACACATAGTAGCAAATCACACTGGGGAACAGTGACAGCTGGGTGGTGGGCTGCAGGCAGAGGCCATGGGCGAGGACAAAAAAAAAAAAAATAGCAAATCATATACATTGGTCAACTCTGCTTTTTACATTAATTATGTCTTAAAGATTATTCCTTATTTAATAAAGTACTTACTTTTTTTTTTATACTTGGGTACCATTTCAGTCTTTTTACTAACATTTGCCAATTTCTTTTGTTATGTTTCTCGCATACTACTCCTTTCTTCTGGATTCAACTGCTTTCTTTCCTGAAGAACAATCATATATGAGTTCTTTCAGCAAAATCTGGAACAGTTTTTTATCCTCTCTTTTGAATACTAGTTTATCTATGTATAGAATTTTAGGGCAACAGCAGTTTTTCCTCAGCACTTAGAAGTTATTTTATTGTCTCCTGGCCTCTATTGCTGCCATTGCAAAGTCTGCTGTCAGTGTAATTATTATTCCTTTGTATGTGTCCTTTCTATTTCGTTACTTTTAAGATTTTTTTTTTTTTTGTCTTTTTTGTGACCGGTAAGGGAATCACAACCCTTGGCTTGGTGTCGCTCGCACCGTGCTCAGCCAGTGAGCACACCGGCCATTCTTATAGGATCCGAACCCGCGGCGGAAGTGTCGCTGCGCTCCCAGTGCCGCACTCTCCCGAGTGCGCCGCGGGGCCGGCCCTACTTTTAAGATTTTTCTTTTTTTGTTTTTTATTATTTATTTTTAAGATTTTTTCTTGTCTTTTGATGTTCTGCAGTTTCATTACATGTCTAGAAGCAGACTTATTTTTATTCACCCTCCTGGGTATTTGTTATGCTTCTTCAATTTAAGGATTCATATCCTTTATGAATCTTGGAAAAATTTTCAAATCTTTTCCCTCTCCATTCTTTGTTGGATCTTCTAATTCTATTCTCCATGTCTTGGCCCTTTCATATTTCCTAACTCTCTGTTACAATCTGTGTATTTAGCCGATTTATCTTCTAGTTCATCAATTCTCTCTTCAGATAGGCCCAATCTGTGGCTTAATGTGTTTGAATTTTAAATTTCATTAATTACAAAGTTTTTAGTTCTAAAGATTTAGTTTTGCCTCTTTCATAGTGACATCTTGTCTAAAGGCTTTTATGCTTTCTTTTATCCCCACCCCTACCCTACTCATTTTAAGCACACTTATTCTACAGTTATCCTACTAATTTTAAGTTTGTAGGGGTGCTAATCCTCCAAGATTGTCTACTGATTTGTGCTCACTATGGATTGTTTTGGATTTTTGATGAGTCCATCTGAGAGGGGCTTGTTCTTTCTATAAGGAATATGATGCAGCTTGGATTATGGGAATGTCTTCCTTTCCCAACCAAGTTGTCACGTCTGTATGTGTGTTTATGTCAGTAATTTTCAAACTGAAATCCTCAGAAACCTAGGGACACACACACACGCGCGCGCGCATACGCACATTTATTTTACATTTTTAACTTCTTAAGGGATTAGTGGCTAATAAATCTTGCAGCTTTAAAATTCTGTGTTCCATATCTCCATGACAAGTGGGAAAACTCAACCTACTAGTCCTGGAGTATTCAGCAAATAATACTAATTATAATAACCAGTTATTATCAAGTTCAACACTTAGTGGCACATACAGAAAATCATTTAGTTCTCTCAACAACCCTGAGGTAAATACTATAAAACATAATGGTTATATAATTTGTTCAAGATTGTACAGTTGGTGAGGAGTAGGGTAAAAATTCATATCCAAATCCATTTGACCCTAGAGCCCAATCATTTAATTACCATTTATTCACTCAACAAAAAATTTACTGAGGAACTACTCTGTGCCAGATATGCTAGGTGCTGGGTCTGTTGGTATACAAAGCAAATATTGTTCTCAAATCTTTCTAATTATGTGTGAAGGATCAGTTTTTTCCCTCTTAACTTCCAATCTGTCACAGACCATATTTTTGTAAAAGAAATAAAAAATATTACAGCAATGTTGAATTGCTATAAACATTTTAAAAAGTTTACCCTTCCTTTTTGTATTCATCTCTCTATTGCTAGCTGGTAAGTTTGCAGACCAACCCCATCTGCACACCACACTTCGTGTAGCACTGCTCTACAGTAACAGCAGACTATTTTGGAGCTCAGTGTATATTTGTGTGATAGAGATGGCAACTGTGTGTGGGTGACAAAGTGGAGAAGACACTTCTAATAATGGTGGCTCATGGGCCGGCCTGTGGCTCACTCGGTAGAGTGCGGTGCTGATAACACCAAGGCCACGGGTTCGGATCCCATATAGGGATGGCCGGTTCGCTCACTGGCTGAGCGTGGTGCTGACAACACCAAGTCAAGGGTTAAGATCCCCTTACCGGTCATCTTTAAAAAAAAAAAAAAATGTTTCCTTCTTGTCCTGGAGTGGTAAATGTTTAACAATTTGTTATTAAAAAAACAGGCCTCGGGCCGGCCCGTGGCTCACTCGGTAGAGTGCGGTGCTGATAACACCAAGGCCACGGGTTCGGATCCCATATAGGGATGGCCGGTTCGCTCACTGGCTGAGCGTGGTGCTGACAACACCAAGTCGAGGGTTAAGATCCCTTTACCGGTCATCTTTTAAAAAAAAAAAAAAATGGTGGCTCATATGTGGAGAGCAAGAACTTTCTAAGGGGGGTATAATTAACTATTTTAGGTCACAGCCTGCCTAAGCTAGTAAGCATAAAAAAGGAGGGGGTGTGAAGATTCAGGAGATAGTGAAAAGCCATATTACAATGTAACTTAATCGAAATCTGACCATTCTTCTGGTAAAGAATGAGCGTAACTGCTTGCTTCCTCTGTGGTCCTCTAATAGGACAGGAGAGTAGGTAAAGGCACAGTAGGAGAATAGGAGTACTAATCATAAGAGCTTTGGGAAATTTATTTGCACGTTTTCTTGCCTCATCAGCCTGCAAACACCTGGATCACATCGTACACTGGCATCATGCTTAGGAAACAGCAGGCAAACACTTTGATATTATCCTAAATGAAGCAGGAAGATAAATCTGCTAAATAAATATATTTAAAGCCAAATGACTTATGGATTATTTGCACCTTCATTCTCTTATTATGGAAAGCAGAGAACTGATCACATACAAGGACACTTCACATAATGAAATCTGAAATACATATACTACTATAATTTCTTTCAAGAGTAATAAATGTCACTAATTTTGAGATCTGGACACTTACTGAGAATGTTTTTATATGACATAGAAAAGAAAAATATATTCCTCTTCATAAGTTAAGATGATTGATTTCCCAGGAAGTGAGCTTTATGGTTTACTCAAAGTTGTACTAGACAAACTAAATGTCTAAAAAGCATCTTACAGTTACTTTTATCCTAGAACATCTGCATAAGTATGGCTACAACATTCAGTATTTCAAACTTCAAACTGTGCTCTTTATCACTTTATTAGACTCAAAAGCACACCGTTTTCCTGCAGTTATGGTTTATTTTAATCTTAACCCATTTTCTCAAAGACCACTCAACACATTTATACTATTCTGGTAATTAATCATGCTACTGAGAAAAACAAGTGAAAAGTTTATTAAGAATTAAATGAAGGTATGGAATGTGATACAGTACAAGTAAGACACTCAAAATGGGTATAATAGCACTACTTGCACAAAAAGTTAAATTCACTTCAAAAAAAAAAAAAAAATCACAACACAAAAGAAAAGGCAATTCCATCATTATAGAGTAAGGTATTTCATGCAAAGTACTAACTGCCTCCCCCCCAATGCCAAAACTCCAATCTCCCAAAACAAAAAAAAGCTATCTGAAAATACTGCCATGCTAACATATTAACCACAATATAATCATTCATGGAAAAACAACACACTAAGCAATGAATTAGATGAAATAACACCGTTTGCCTTATCATAAACTCATAGACCATGATGATTTTACATGACAAGCAATTCCAGATTCACTCATATGGTGAATAATATGGGCTAAATGCTGAGAAATAAAGTATGTAAATATAAACCTCATTAATTCATCTCATTATCTAATTATTAAAACCTGGAAGCTTAGGGAACCTGAAAAATTTATATAAAATTTGGCATACTCCATTGGTGTTCTAAGAAATAACTTTAGGATATTTTCAATTAGGAGAGAGCTGTAAAAAAGCACTTTAGTGGATTTAGTTCTTAAATAATGATCACAATTTACATGATAGAAACAACTCCAGATACGCAATTACCCTGATTAACTCTACTTAGGACAAGAAACATGATTTTCTAGCACTCTAGGTACAAATTACTTCAAAGGACCAGTTAATTTAGAGACTAAATAAATGTAAAACAAAGGTGAGCTGATATGGAGAGTAAAGGGGAACATCCTCATTTACAAAGACTTAAGTGTGGAAAAATCTTCCCTTGACTTCTGAGGGAGCTGCAATCAACAAATAAAATAGACTGCCAAGCTGTAATGTATGTCTCTGTACCAAGATGCATGAGCATGCTTCACGTAAAAGATAGTTTTACATTAGAAAACAGTCAGGAATGGCATTTTATGGGATAGTACTTCCCTCCATAGCTGCCAAACTGAACACCAGCCCGGTCACCACGTGGTGCACAAACCAAAAGCACATTACCAGTTGGGCATAAAGTCATGGAGAGGCAACCCAGGAGCAGGAAGCACCCATCTCACTGTACTTGCCCATACAGGCCAGGAACGGGCTGAGACACCTATATTTTATGGTTCTGCATTCAGTTTACCCATGATGCATAGACCGGTTATAAATATAATAATAAGGGCAAGGAAAAAGAACAGGAAAAAAAATACTTAGGATAAAGAACTACCCAATCCCATTTGTTGGTTTTTCCCTTTTGCTTTAAGGTAATTAAAACAGATTGGGAAATTATCCAGGATTACCCTTCCCACCTCTGAAATTTAACTTGCTATTTATATTCCATGAAAGGAACACCACAACTGTTCAATAGTAGGACTTAGACTCTCTAAAAAATAGGAGCATTTGTTCTAATTCCTTTCAGATAATGGCATTAAAAGATTTTTCTAACACGAAACCTAGAGTTTGAAGCCAGCAAAGAAGCTCCTTTAGTACTCAGGGCCTATCATAGTTAGAGCTCTTTGGAATGTGTGTCTTAAACATATAAAAGTATCGCAAATTAAATCCCCAGAGTATCCATAAATTCTGAAATAAGAAAGATTTCTAATGAGAGACAAATGCTTCCAACAGCAAATTAAATCTGATAAATCAATCTTTCCCAACAAAGTTTCTGCTAATAACTCAACATAGCCTCTGGAATCAACTGTAAAGACTTCTCAATCGTGATGATGCAAGATGAAGTGCAGATGAGCAGTACATATGAAAAAACTTGTAAACCGCTACAGTTCTGAAACAGTAGATTTATATTACAAAGCAATGTAAATAAATATTGGGCTAGTACAAAAGCTCTTATTTACAGTTTTACAAATGAAATTGTATTCAGTGTAAATGCTGTGTTTTAAAGAACACAGTACTGTATTAGTAAAATGAGTTCTGTTGAGGGTATTACAGTTTCTGTTAGAATCAATCCATAACGTATAAAAGGTTCAAGTTAACTCTGTTTATAATTTAGTACAGACAAACCCAGTTTAACCTGGAATGGCATCTGTTAAAGTGCTGAAAAACAGGAAATATTTAGAAAACACTGTACATTATTAAAGCTTTATCAAGTCAGAATGTTAAACTTCTTTCACATTTTTTATCTTTTTGCCACAGGCCTGTTGGCAAGATGACTTTTTTTCAGCAAAGGAGTAAAACTTCGAGGCCACCAGCTGCTTCAATGATTGTAGGTTAAATGAAATTAACTTCCTAAAGCAACTAAATATTTATCCATCGACCATACCTTCAGGCCTCACAATCTGGTAAGTAATTAAATATTCAGGATAAGCCTGGAAGAGAAGATTAATTCAAATATTGGTAAACGAATTTTCTTGAAGGATAAGGAGATTTTTCATAAGAATTCCTATCTTTAGGGAGGAGTTTCTAAGTTAGTGTTGTGGATCAGAATTAGCTAAGGGCCTTTTCTCAAAACACCCTTTCCTTGACTTCAATCCTTTAGATTCTCAATCAGCAGGTCTAGAATGAGTACTAACTACACATCTGTCTGTTTTTAGTAACTAACAAGCATGTTCTAGAACAAGTTCAGAATGCTGTAGAACTGCTTTGACTGGATCTGTGTCACTGAGAGCAGGAGCGAATTATACATTCTGCTACAGACAAGTTAACTATTAAATACAGGATTCTGACTAATTACATTTTATAGAAGCTAAAAAGAGATTCACTACAATTGGCAAAATCTGAATAAGGTCTGTAGGTGAGATATAATATCAATAGCATTTTCCTGATTTTGATAATTTTAAGACAATGTGCTTGTTTTTAGGAAATACACATTTTGAATTTAGGGGTAAAGGGACATGCCTGTAACTTACTCTCAAACAGTTCACACAAAAAAATATGTGTACACACATGCACACACACATGCACGGAAGGAGAAAGGGAGAGAATGATAAAATGTTAACGTTTGGGAAAACTAGGTAAAGAGCATAAGGGAATTCTCTTTACTAGTTTTATAACTTTTTAAGTCTGAAATTACTTCCAAACAAATCTCTTAAAAAATCCAGTTCCTAAGGCAAATATGCCTTGTCAATTTAAGAGATTAGTAAGAAGTAGTTAAGGTATGGCTCTATAGCATTTTTGAAGATGAACGAATAAAACTGAATTACCTGTTCTCCTCTGTAAATAACATATTCAGCTAATGCTAGGCCATTTACACTGGGTCGGCCAGTGACTGAGTGATGACCTGGAGGAGAATGTGCCATTTTCATTGCACTGAACTGCAGGAAAGACTTTCCCAAGGTTACTCGGCAAAAGAGCAGCTGCCTATAAGGTAAAAGGAAAAGATCATCTGAAGACAAATTTGACACACAAATATGACAATTTTTATTTTTGTACATGCGTAAGTTTTAAAAATGCATTTACAGATAAACACTTATGATTGTTTTCATCATTTTGCCCTATAAAGAACTTTGTAAGAATGTCTTCTACTACCGTTATTATTATTATTATTTTTTTTTTGTGGCAGGCCAGTACAGGGATCCAAACCCTCGACCCTGGTGTTAACAACACTATGCTCTAATTTACTGAGCTAACTGGCCAGCTCTATTCCTCTTATTAATGAAATTGTCAATTTAGTTAATCCTTAATCTAACTATAAAACCCGAAAAACATAATAACATTATAGAGATGCAGACTCTGTCTTCTTTTTTGAACAACACTATGCTCTAATTTACTGAGCTAACTGGCCAGCTCTATTCCTCTTATTAATGAAAGTGTCAATTTAGTTAATCCTTAATTTAACTATAAAACCTGAAAAACATAATAACATTATAGAGATGCAGACTCTATCTTCTTTTTTCTAACCCAGCAAAAACACAAATCATAGGCCAAATGGGAAGGAAGAGGTTTTTTTTTTTTTTTTGTCTTTTTCCGTGTCCGGCAACGGATCACAACCCTCAGTGTTGGCCCCGTACTGGACTGGGGACCAGCAACGGGATCGCAACCCTCGGGGTCGCTCCCGCGCCTCACTCAACCAGTGAGCGGGAACCGGTCTGTATGTGGGATCCGAACCCTCGGGCGGGAGCACCGCCGCGCTTCCCAAGCGGCGCACCTATCCAGTGCACCACCGGGCCGGCCCCGGAAGGAAGAGGTTTAAGGGGCTTCAATGAGGTGCCTTGTAAAGTTGGACATTTATCCAACTAAGTCCAGTGGATTCCACCTTCAAAATATATTTGAAGTCCATTACTTCTCTTAGTTCTACTCCCACTGCTAAAGCCCAATTCACCAAAATTTCCACCTGGACTATAACAATGGCCTCCTAACCAGTCTTCCTGTTTCTACTCTAACTCTTGTCCAAACCATTTTCCATCCAAGCAACCAGTGATCAAAACAAACAAACATAAATCAGATCACGTCATTTTTGTGCTTAAAATCTTTTAGAAGCTGCTCACTAGAAGAAAATCCAAATTCTCTTCAATGGCTCTGATTTCTCTAATCTTATTTTATGTTCATTATGCCCCAGGCACATTAATTTTCTTCCTCCACAAACACCAAACTTATCTCCCTGCCTCCATCCATACAATTTTCTCTATTATCCAAAAAAGTATGTACTTTACCACTCTTTAACTGGCTGACACCCATTTATTTTTCAGCTTCAGGTGAAAAGAGGTTACTTCTTTAGACAGGTCTCCCCTTACAATCAGTTTAAGTAGATTACTCTCCTACTCCCCTGCAGGATACATGTCACTGGCCTTTCTTGGTTCCAAAGAACTTTTCAGTATTACCTCATTGTTTCTTTTTTCTTTTCTTCTTAGAAGAGAACAGAAGATTCTGGTGAACCAGTTGATGGTTCTATTTTCCAAGGAAGAGAGGCTACACACTTTTTATTCTAAATTTGACCTTTGAAAACCTTCTTAGCATTTCTAGAAGATTTTTTTATTATATTCACAATCAATCCCATGATAATCCAGGATACAGAAGTCTTAGATTAATAAACTTACTTCCAGACAACCAAGCATTCAGTTCCAAAGACACTTTAGGGGAGTTACAAGAACATTGCTTATTACTAATAATCAGAACTAATTAACCTTCAGACCACATATGACAAGTAAAAACAGTAGCATTCAATTTACAGAATCTCTGGGCCGGCCCGTGGCTCACTCGGGAGAGTGTGGTGCTGATAACACCAAGGCCATGGGTTCGAGTCCTATATAGGGGTGGCCGGTTGGCTCACTGGCTGAGCATGGTGTTGACAACACCAAGCCAAGGGTTGAGATCCCCTTACCGGTCATCTTTAAAAAAAAAAAAAAAAAAAAATTACAAAATCTCAGGAAATTAAAAGCCTCCTAACCAGTCCAATACATAATCTAAAAAAGAAGTAGGTGGGAGGTCATATCCAGGAGGGTCTACTCTGTAACACCTACAGAACTCTAAATTTAAAGGGGAAAACAACAAGGACAAAACAAAAACAACAACAAAAAGACCTTGTTTCTCTCTAGGACTGCAGTTCTTCATCCCGGCGGCCTTCTGGAATCAGCTGGGAAGCTTTTTAAAAATCCTAATGCCCAGACCATACCCTAGACCAATTAAATGAGAATTTCTGAGGGTGGGACGCAGGCAATAGCAGTTTTTAAAGCTCCCCAGGTGATACCGATGCACTGCCAAGGTTGAGAAGTACTGCTTTAGGGTTTTTCCTAGATCCCCGATCAAAAACAGCATCACCTGGGAGCTTGGTAGAAATTCAAGTTCTAGAGCCCCATTCCAGACCTACTACAACAGCAACTCTGGGGGTAGGGCCCAGGAACCTGCATTTTTTTTTTTTCCCTTTTTTGTCTTTTTTACTGACCGGTAACGGGATAGCAACCCTCGGTGTTGCGCCCGTACCGGGGACCAGCAACGGGATCGCAACCCTCGCTGTTGCGCCTGCACTGCGCTCAGCCAGTGAGCGGGAACCGGTCTCCACATGGGATCCGAACCCTCGGTGGGAGCGCCACCGCGCTCACAAGCGGCACACTCTCCAGTGCGCCACCGGGCCGGCCCAGTAGTAATT